GTGAGAAGCTGCCTTCTCTTCTTCTCATTGATACTGGTGTTGTTCTCTGGAACTACCCAGAATAAGCCTACCACACTTCGCTAAAGCCCTTCAAGGATTTGGGGACAGCAGTGACAGTCCTTCTAGTAAACGTCACTAACATTCATTTGAAGAGTATACACTGTCTTGAACAACATTTTGTACACTTAGTTTGTCAGAGACCTTATTAAAATATGTTGCTAAAATACTTAAGATTGACATGATTCTCTTTGATACAGTACAAATATCCCACGTGAAGAATTTCTCTCAACTCTAGTCATTGTGTGTGAGGGTGAAGTATTGGGTTAGTAAGCCAGCTTCTTCAGTGTTAATGGCTCTGAAGAAAAACAGAAACATCACTGCTCCCCAGGAATGAATTCTCAACCACAAGCACGAGTCATTGCTTTCTCCTGAGAAGTAGAAACTCTTGCTTTTGGAGGGAGAGAGCAAAAAGGAGAATGCAAGAGGAAAGAACCTAAGAATTTATGGGGGAGAGTCTCTGAGAGATTTCTGTCAGCTGTGAACGGAATAAGGTCTATAGGTGAGTGAACTGTTCATAACCTGAAATGAGCAGTTCCCATACAGCTGGAAGTTCACTTCAGAAACCAAAGAAGAGTAACCACTGTACACCACTTTCCCTTACTTTATATATGCCTAGAACGTGAGAGTCAGCTGAATGACTAAATACACTATTCGTTTTCACAATAAGGTGGGATTATTTACCCCCATTTCCTCAAATGGAGTCTCAGAGACGTTAAGGAACTTGCCCTAGCCAGCTGTTTAGTTAATGACAGAGTTGAGATTTAAACCCATGCAGCCTCACTGTGTTCTTTTTAAAAACTGATGAAGTTCCTTGAAAAGTTCCAGCTAGTTTCAGCTGGGCTGTGGGGGTGAGTGGAAAGGATTCTGATTTTACCCAGTCTCAGAGTAACAAGACAAGGGAGCAGCACATTCCCAGGGCCAGTTGTAATGATGGCTCTTGGAATTAGAGTGTGACATTCAGGGAAACAGGCTGGGATGGGGGTTGGGATGTGGCCAAAAGTGTCCCTTTGTATCAGGGGAGTTTCTGTCTTGAGTTTCCATTTACTCCCCAAATATTGTTTGAGCACTCATTATTTTTCAGGCAGAGAATGTTCATCTCCCCTCCAGCCCTGGACAGATAATCAGTCTCCTGGCATGGGCTTAGTTCCAGGCACGTGTTACTATGTTCCAGCTAAACCT